AACAAATTGTTATCGTATGCAACTAATTATACATTATTGTACAATAGCAGTGACCGTATTAGAGTGCATACAAATCAACTCCTATCTGGGACATTTTTTCTTACATCGTAATCGAACAGTGCATAAGCTATATTATGAAACCCTCTCTGAATCTGCGGATTCATCCCGACAACTCTTACGTGTGTCTTCGGAACCCCAGCGGCGGCTTGTTTGGGTCCGCCCTCGCTCTCTATGTAAGTCTCGCCCCGCTCATCGGTCTGCTTAAACCCTACCAACGATATGTCTATCCGCTCGGTTGGTGGGACCGGCTTTTTCTATTATTTTGACCGTCAAGACAGCTAGCCACCGTGATCATTTATGACGAAAAAGCGTGAAACTTTTGACAGGAGTATGTCTGTTTTTAAAATGATTCTGACATACGAAGCTATCATAGCGGTATAAGTGAATCCCGAAGCTAACGGCTGTTGTACAGCGCTTTTTTGCCCAGTTGCTCTTGTGATTTAAGTATACTCCGTATTGTTGTGCTGATTGGCCCATTTACCTCTTCCGTAAAGGACAAGGAAGGGACCAGCTGAGACCGCGGGCTTCGCAGAATTTGTTCGCCTGCTCAGTGGGCGACCGTTCGGCCAGCGTCAACGAGTTCCTAATAGTAATCTACACATGTACAAATGTGAACGATGTGCAGCGGCAGCTGTAGGGGAAATTCAACACTAACATTTCGACATCACACAAAGTTCTACGGGCTGACAGAGAGGCCTGTTGGCATAGTGGCGTAGCCCGCTGTATGCAATGAACACAGGCTATTGCTTTTATGGTTCTCATCATTTAGCCATTTGTTTATCGCGGAACTTGTGCGCGGTTGGTGTGGCCGTTCCGTCCGCTAATTGCAACCGTGTTTGTGACCGTGCCGCCGCGGCCGTCCCAAGTCCGGTTCCGCTTACGGTGAAAGCGAAAACAATCATTGAACTAGTTCAGCCATTAATGGCAGGCATCGCTCGTATATCGTGAGGATCCTGGCTTTACAATGACTGCTGTTTATGTCGTGGCGTCATTGTTGACACGGTACATCCCTTCCCTACTGGGTATTGTCCTGATTTTGTTTTCGTTCAGATCGACAGGCCTCGTGTCCTGCAATATATTTCATCCAGTACGAGCGGTAACGATAACGATTTCAGCAGGAGAATAGCGCCAATCGTCGTCGCACCCTTGAATAATGTCGCGGCCGCCGCGTTGACAGTTTTTGCGTATAAATATAGCTGTCACCAATGTCGCTATCTCGTGCAAGTTGCATGAGTTGCTAGTACGGTACGTAAGGGGAAAAAGCTAGAATGGTGCTATTAGCTGGGTCTTGATTTCAGCTTGTCATACTCACCGTTAATCAAACGCTTGCTAGACTTATACAGTTATGGCTGTTTCACGCCACTCGTATTAATAGCAGTACTCGCGCACCGGCCGCCAGCGGCGCGGGCTAAACCAGCGGTCCGTCAGGGAGGCACTCTCACTCACACGCCAGCCATCTAGTGCCGCTGCTATTGCTGGCTACAGCCGCTATGGACAGCTAAAGGAACGGAATTCTCTTGCTGAGTGAAAGACGAACACGCTGCAGCATCAACAAGAGCTTGCAGCTATAAATGATTTAAGTAAAGGTAGAAGATTAGCGTTGTCGGCCAGCCAGTAGTCGTTATTTACCATTCGGCCAACGGCCATCGGCCGCGAGAGGACCCTACGCACAGCAGACGCACGCCGCCCTGAGACCCGGCGTGAAAACAGCGAACCAACACTAGCTGGGGGTAACCAGAAACATCCATTTAGCTGGACTAGCTTCAGGTATCTACTTAAGTGCTGTGTAAAAAGTCGCAGTTAAATAGAACGGGAAGTGGCGAACTATTCAATGACATACATCGCCGATGCCAAGATCAATTAGCGGACAATCAGCTAGAAAAATCACCGGCGAACTGGATAGTATAGCGTTCGCTTGCTTGATTTGTTATGTTTGTGAAGTGGTATGTGCTTAGCTGTGCAATCGTTCTAGAGGTGTGACGTGTTTGTTGCTGTCGTCGTCTCTGCCATAAGATAAGAACAATACCTCATCAACTTGTCGCTATCTACTTCGCCATTGAGGGGAGAGAGGGTGAATCGTTACCCCTTCTAACATTGATCAGGATCACTGTGAACATCGAAAAAATTGTCTTTCTCAGTTTATGCCTATAGCGGATCCGGACAAGTCGGGTGAGCGTGAATAGAAAAACTGATACTTCACTAATAAACGTGACAACTAAACGAGAAATGCATATATATAGTGGATTAGGTGGGTGTCATTTGATGATATAAGAACTGCCATAGTGTTATTAAACTCTCTAGCTGCGTCCACGGTTGAAAGAGAGTCAGCTGGGCGTCATTTTCGTATCCAGGTTCGGAGCGGCGGAAAGTCGACGCGATGGTTGCGGAAAAAGATCGTGATCCGCCAAGCTCGGCCAGCTCCGAGTGGTAAGCATTAAGTACGTTAAGCATAACAACGCGAATCAACTAAAACCCGGGGCTGTAACGGTGTACTTCGATTATAAGGGTCTGTTTGGTCGCGTAGCGGTAGTAGCCGGTGGCTGTTCTACAGGACCTTGACATGAAATAGGTACTGTCGTATAAGACTAAGAACAATATGTTATTCATACCGTAGCAGAAACAAAATCTGTGCTTAGAGTTTTCCAGTGTTGTGCACTGCTATTGCCGACACTTGGTTTAAACAACAGTTAAGCCTGACGGCAAGGGATTCCATTCATTTATGTAGATTCGTATTGAAAAAGACATCCGGTCCCTGGGTACTTCGACAATTCGAGACGGAAATGCAGTATAGATCTATTAGTGTAACAGTCGATGCCCGACTATAATTTTGCCTAAGCATGGCGCACATGTCAAGGTAGTGTATATTGTTTCTCCTATGTCAACATATAGGTGTCCGGAGTCCATTCTAGAGAGCAAATTAGAAGCTACAAGGGACCAGGCTTACCTAGGCTAAGTAACCAAACCGTGTTAGTGGTCGTATGCGATCAATACGGTATTATAGAATATTACCGCAAACACAGCCCAGTGCTTGCCGCTGTAAACGATAGTGATTACTTTTATCTGTTGTCTTGCTTTTTCTATGTATACATATGAACGCCTCAAGTGAGTAACAACTTAAATATACTCTTACAAGTTCTAGACTAGCAAAAAGTTGGATACAGTTTCTACCAGTACTTTGGCTACTGGGACCTATCTACACTAAACATATATACATGGCCTTTATGATGAATGATATAAATAGACGAATAAGCCATAGTGTAGATAAAAACGTCGAGAAAATTACAGTAAATTTTTAGCATTTATTCTAACAAACTATTCTTCGTTCCCCGTGACAATGGCTGGCCTAAAAGGCCGGGCAATGTCTGCGGCAGACCGTTGGCCAACAGAATTTTGTATGTGGTCGTCAAGACTAGCTAATATTATGTTGCAGATACTCAATTTAAAACTCACGCCCGCTACGTTTAAAAGCAACCAACAACCCCGATCGCAAAGCTAAGACGTTTCGAGGCTGGACCGTCGCAGATATCTCGACTATCTATTTAGCGGACAACAGTACTTCGAATATGTGCTTAGTCGGAAATAGCCGCTTCCTGCATGGACAGCCATTTGTTCTTTCTGATGGCTCCCGCGATGCATGCCTAGGAGTTAATTTTTCCTTTATTTGTTAAAAGCGTCGTGACACGCTCCTCCACGCGTCCATCTGTTCGCGTACTCAATGATAACTAAAATAATATAGGGCAAATCCAAACCTATTATACTTAGTGTGGCTACTGTTCAACGATAATTCAATAGAAATATCAGACGTTTGGATTCGAATAATTGCGCCAGCTCTTGCATAAAATTGCCTCATGTCAATAATCTGTTCTCTTGTTTATAGAAAAGCACATCGATATGAAGGAAGCGTTGCCTTTTGGGAGGTCTCAGTCACGACTTTTTCTCAGGACACATTAAATATATTCAGCTTATTAGCCTATTTAGCTTTTTAGGTCGTTGTCAAATTGTACGGGCCACAGGAGTTGAAAGATTTTATAATCCGGAAGTGTGTGCTCACATGGTATCCTCAGAGATGTATACCACAGCTCTCTGTATAAAGACGGTTTATGATCCGAGTGGCAATATTGTGCCTCGTTAAACCTCGATCACTTTTATTATTTACCATAAATTCACTCTAATATGGACCCTTGTCAACGGATATGGAAAAGACGCATAGCAGGCGGTCAAACAGGATACAGAAAATGGACCTTTTCATTGCCTTTTTTTTATCGAACACCTTACTGTTGAACGTAGCTTTGAACGCATGGAAAGACTCATTCTTCAATTCAATCGAACGGCGTGAAACGATAGAATATGCCAACTGGGTATTTATGTCGCCGTAACAATGTTAGTAAATAGGTATTCAGCGAGGAACAGCACCGCTATTGATTTCATCGTCCAACCGCGAAAACTAGTCTGTGCCAAATGATATACTCGTTGGTACCCATTTGTATTCAACATAATGTACCAATGGTGTATTCAACTTGTTCTAATGCTCTCGATGTCTTAGTGTTGTTGGTGCCCAGCTTTTTCCATACATAGGTGTTGCCCTGGCCAAGTCCTTTATCTCGATGGTAAGTTTCTCAATTTTTTTCCGTCCAGTTTCAAGTGATTTTACTAAAAGCCATACTTGCTGTTTTTAGAAGGAGTAGGACGGCTTCTTTGAGCATGAAACAAAATGTTCCGCTGAAAATCATAAAGGTTACATTCGCGTGCGAGTCGTGACTGCATTGAATATACAGGCGATATATCTGCGTGAATACAAAAGCACACCACTTCGTGCAACTAAGATTAGCGGTCAGCGTCGAAAATGGTTTCTCTTTTGTCTTCTACAGTGGACACCATATATATATATATATATATATATATATATATATATATATAGATAGATACATGGTGCGTAACGAATCGTTGAGCGGTTTCACTGCTTTCGGAATGGAAAACAAAAGCGAATTTCTGTGTGTGTTTTTATTTTCACGTCAACCCAGCCCAGGCCAGGCCAGGCCAGGCCAGACCAGGCCAGGCCAAGCCAGGAGGTTTTGTCTGTAGTGCTCGATGGAAAACTGTGTTAGCCGAAAGCCCAATCAGGTTGTCCCTTACATAGTTCGATCCTTTTTGTATGATTTTAAGTTACAGCTCTGCGTAGTTCAGTACCATTTTACAAATAGAACGCACTATGTTGTTTTCGGGCATCGATCATATGGTCGTGCAAAAAGGAAGAATAGAGACAAACTAAATTATAAAAGCGGCACGTCTACCTCAAGCTACCGTCGCGCATCGGCCGACCTGGGAACATAGTTCTGTACAAAATCAGTCTACTCATGCCGGACCATAAGATAGTTTGCAACGCATCACGATAGAGACCGGCATCGACTATCGCAGTGATCGTTATTTTATTTGGAAAAAAAATAGTTCGATGACACTTTCGTTACACAGGTCTCTATACTTAGTGACTCATATGAGTCAAGTGGTTACCCTTGGATTCTATGAGATCTAAATACGATACCTTTGTTTATTTACGTAGCTGTGTAGCTGAAAACACCTTTTATCAGAATCAATGATGCAGTTGAATGAGCCGCTAGCACGTACATTGTGCTTCGACGTTATGCAATCAACGACGGTTGTGAGTGCTTTGTGCGACCTTGACATTACGTTACCGGCTTTTCCACTTCAATACAAACAGCGTTTATTTTTCATTAAAACGCTATTCTAATCAGAAGCGTTTGCCTTTTTTTCACAGCAGCGAGCCCTATGTTTCCTGTATTTATCTTCGATAGTTGGCTACTCCTTGTTCGGTTGCAGACACAGTCAAAGAGGAACTACTTCTTACGAACCTAATGGTACTTGCTTTACATATGAATATGTTTATAAATATTCGAATAGATGGCTTCTTCCACTGCGGATTTCAATCAAGGCTCCGCGTGTTCTTTTTCTCGATGGTAAACTCTTTTCCGTAGTAGAACTCGTTAGTTTTACCTTAGCGACGCATCCTCTGGGATCGTCGAAACGCGATAAACACAAACTACTAAGTGAACCTTTTTACAACCTAATGTACGGCGGTACCGAGACGCCATGACAACAAAGATGGCCTAAAATATCATAGATGCCTGCTGGATTCAAGGTCCGAGTTCGACGATATCGTGTGATACCGTTCCACTGAACGCCTCTTACGTTTCATACACCATTAATGTGGAGTGGAAGAGTCCGTTTAGCCTATTCAATAAAGACGTTTTACCCGGAAGTATTCGATTTAGAGCTGAGATATTTATGATTTCGTACAGAATACGCGTTTTGCTCCTGAATGATTTGAAACTTCATAATATATATATTGCTGTTTGTTAACAATCACTATTATTAGTTTGAAAAAAACGGTCCAGCATCGCGTAACGCCTCAGTTGCTAATATTATCAATATATATATATATATAGATTATCGTTACATTGTCGTGAGAATGAAGCCCAAAAGAATTGCCACCACATTTCAGACAATGGTCCACTCTGTATCTTATGCTAAGGTATACCATATATCTTAATGAATTTGGAGTTGCCCTACAACAGACACTTGTCGACGAATGAAAATTTTTACAAAATGAGGAAATGTATATGTGTTTAGCTGACTCATTGCTGATATGAAGGTGGCCAACCAAAACCACATGAGACTAATGGCCGACAGCGCGAATACCCAGTATTTGGCAGATTTCCACAAAACGTTCGTTAGCCTAGACGGGTTCAGAGCGTTCACCCAGTCGACGGGTCGACAGGGTCAACCGCGTACAGACCTGAAATCAGTGAAGTTGGCCGGTGATGCCGGGCCGCACTTCATATTACTAGCAGATGGAATAAACAAAATGTGTAGTTTCTACGCATACGTAGTAACGATAATATAGTGCTCTAGGCTATAGTTTCTCAATTGATAATTCTCTGGACAGAAAATCACCTTACCATTGTTTTACTGCATTAAGAATCTTCTTGATTGACATCAGAATTCTGCTAGGCCAAGAGCTGGTGTCGGTCACACAGAAGTGATTGAATCAAGTCACTTATACCTTGCGTTTTCCATTCATGCTAATCTGAATATCTTGTTCAACATTTCAAGAAGAAGGTTCGAGTGTCCTTTTCGTTGAATCTAATTCTAGTTACTATGAAAAGGTACTCGTTTATGTTTATGGTGCAGCGTAATTGGTAACTTTCTCCTAAACGACAGTAACTATAAAATTGCCAAATTAGAGGGAGTTGTCTTTCACAATGTGGATCCTTAAAATCTTTAGCGTAAAGATAGGCGTAGTATATAGTTGTGCTACCATGAGCAACAGCTGGCCTTGTGTATATATATGATATAGTGCACAAGTAGGTTGTTTATTTTTACCGACACTCGATGGTGTCCTTCTATAATGGCTTTGCTACACCGCAATAGCTGCAAACAATTAGCGATCGTTTGTCAAATATAACAGGTAAATCAGCTACACTGGCAATGCAGGAAACCGAAACGTGAGATTTTAGTCATTTTTTCGGCTGGGCTAAGTCGGCCTGAAGTAGGTCCGCCGCCGAGACATCAACGTTGGCCTTTTTAAGACGTCTCGAAGATTTTGCTCATTCTTGAATTCGTGTTAACGCGGTGCTAAATATCACCACTTTAACAGCTTTCTACTAGAGAGGTAGACGAAAATAAACAGGTCTCATTCTTTCATTATTTCAGATCTTGACTGCAGCTGTTACGTCTACCCGTAGATGTAGTGTCTAGTAGTAGCGTGTCATGAAGTGTGCATGATGACGATAAGCGTTGGCTGCACGTTCACCGTTGTAGCTCGTCGCGGCGAGACAGTGCCAGGATTTTGTGCTTGCGGCGGTTGCCCAGCCTTTGACGTGACACAATTTTTCTCTAAAGCAAGTGCCCCAAGGATACTATGCAGATTAGAGGATGGCAGCGTACTTTTGTTGCTGTCCACAAGCGTAACCCCATGTAAAGTAGTTGTGATTGAATGTCTATTCGTGGGTTTTGACCTGTATCAATCTATGGTTGTTTATGGTTTAACTAGTTTATGATTGATCTAGATATGTATATATAATTTATGTTTAATACAAACGCGGGAGCGGTTTGCATCGTAGCAGCTCAAGGGCTGACAAAAGAACGAAAAAAGAGCTATATAAGGTAGATTACTAAAAGCTTGTAACGTTCATTGAGACGACTTAGTGCTGGTCGCATTCACGTCATGTGTGCGTGTGTACACTTAGCTCACTGTCAAATCGTTTATTTAATTTGCACGCCCGTCGCAGGAACTATAACGCATCCGTAGCATGTTCGATTTCAAAACAAACTCTTTGATCAACGACGGTCATTCATGAAAGGGGCAAAATACGACTCTTTGCAGAAAGAAAATCTGCTTAGCGCTCAACACTACACGGTAAAAATAACAATACAATGTAATAAGTAAGTAATATAATAAGGAGGCTAAGTAATATCCTCCTTTATTATATCTCTATTTTTTTAGCCATGTGCTCATTCGGTGGACGATGCGTCCCTATGGCTAGTTCTGGCATCGTACTCTGTATATACTGTCGAAACCAAACCGCCGTATCGTTGAGTAGATACGCAGCAGTCCAGTCCAGTGTCGAGAATAAAAATCACCGAAGAAAATACTGATTTAACAATAATAAAATAATTACTCAAGATAGAATAACTATGACACTTGGCTAGACTAACGCAAACATCCATCCCATAGGCGATGGGTATGCCACCAACCACCCATACATTTATGCATAAAAATATGGCCAGTATACATTGGCCCCTGCGTCTTTTCAAAAAACATAGTGGTTTCAAGTGTTAGTACTGCACGTGTCCTACGATAGATTAACGGCTGGCATTTGTTTTACGGACACGTTGTACCTTTAGTAGTGATAATGGCGATGACTTTGGTGGGCGCGGGACAATCGATGTTCAACTGGACTTCGAGACAAAAATGGAGGCAACCGCACCTTTGAGCCCCGCTACTTCGACGACGACGACGACGGGTGTATCCAGTGGACCTGTTCAAGTTTCAACATCCCCCGCGTCTCCAACGGCTTCCCGAAATCAGAACAAAACTCACAGACGAGAACGAACGTTTTCAGCTTCATCCAATAAAGGTATGTTTGCGTGTAGCTGAAAGAAAAAAATCGAAACCGTTTCAACATTACGCTACACGTGTCGTTTTGCTGTTGCAGATAATCATGATTACGTTTTTACTCAGATATAGATAGGCTTCCTTCACGTCAGCCAGGGTCGGAGTTCATAAACGTATCGGACTTCGTAGTACGATTGATCTAGCCGTGTCTAACCTCATCTTTTAGGCGTCTCAATAATCGTACCGGGACGAATGTGTTGCTGCTTTTCTGTCATTGTATGAGTAATACCCTTAGGGTTTTTGTTTTCGAATAGTGTTTTGTCTATGCTTGAAACAAGCATCTTGATAGAATATGATTATATACTGTATAACGAACATAAGGCTGACGATACGATTTTTCAGAAGCTCCGAAAGCACGCTCTATTGCAACGTTGGCTATCATCAGATCAAATGGATTGTTTCTAACGAAAAATTATTCGTCAGTATTTAGCTTGAATCCCGTTTCTAGTGCATTTGCTATCCGTTGTCGGAAACGATGTTTCGAGATCGTTTTTGGGTATGCATGTTACGCTGTTGAATTGGCGTGCAAGGACCATGGGCATCGCCAGCTCTTGTAGACAGATTCAACACTGAAAAACTGAAATTCTAACAGTTCAGTGTAACTTGCCCTTAACAAACTTACATGGTAATAGTCTAACAACGTACAGACAGATTAGACCACCTCTTGTTTCTACAACCCTGTGCAGTCGAGCACCGGATTGGTGAATATAGTATGAGCTATGACGTTTCCGACGACGCGTCACCCCCCCAGTCTCGCGTGTCACTTCGCAAGCGAATATCAAGATTGCTCGCCGTTAAAGGTCCTATCAGATACAAACTGTTACTTGGTTACCAATTAAGTAAGCTTCAGATGAGAGCTTCAGAGATCGTTTATTCGTTTGCAAGCAAAATTTTGTTCATGGGCAAATGTTCCGTCGTATCTTCTGTAGATTCTTCTTCTCTAAAGCCATTGTTGGACGGACCCCAATAGGAATATGAACTGTTCCATGTTAATTGTAAGTCCTTACAGACGCATATTGCTGCAGCATCGAACCTGATTTGGGTGGCCATCTTGACAACAAAATCATTTAAGGCCAACGTTTTTCGAGTATTTTAGTTTCGAACTGAAAGGTTAGTTCTTAGTTTCGGAGAGATTCTTCTGCCTCTCCTTACGTACATGCGCGAGCTCGAATATCTTAAGCGTAGCGAGAAGGCGTGTGCTGATCTTTGAAGTAGCAATTGATTTCCCGATTAACTGACGGATAAAATAGTTTAGCGCTCGTATCAAGGTCGATTTAACACAACAGCGAGTCTGAGAGACGCTATTGAAGTGTGATCTTAATATTAGGGTTAGCAAAGTCAGTCAGTTAGGGTTAACGCGGAACTGCACGTGCGTTGTGCTGTGATTTAGGTGATCCTCCGGTAATTCGCACTCGACAGCGGACGATCTATACAGCTGGCCGCCCGCCATGGTACGATAAACAGGGTCAAACCGTCGAACCATTTATTATAGGCATCTGTGGTGGCAGCGCTTCCGGAAAGACAACCGTAGCCAAAAAGATCATTGAAGCCCTCAACGTGCCCTGGGTCACGTTGCTTAGTATGGACTCATTTTATAAGGTAGTGCTGTTGATAATAATAGAGAATCTTAGGAGGAATAACAATAATTAACGCTTATTGATATATTGGGAAGTTTTGATTATTTGGTCTTTCTCGTTTTGTTGTTTGATTTAGGTCATCTATAAGCAAAATAGAAGTACCTTTGTCAGTAGTCTGTTGGTGATACTATGTGATTGCATGGAGTATTCGGCGAAGACCTGGATGGACTCAGCAGTCTTTAATTTACGCGCAGATATTCCAAGTAGCGCTTATTGTAAACCCTTAAATGCTTATTGTAAAAATCGAATACCGGCACAGTTACTATAAAGCTAATACTGCGTGTTAACTGCCTGGCGCAGGTTCTCAATGAGGAACAGCACGAAGCCGCCAACAAGAACATGTACAACTTTGATCACCCGGACGCATTCGACTTCGAACTGCTCATTGACACATTAAAAAAACTAAAAGAGGGTAAACGTGTGGAAGTACCTGTCTACAACTTCGTCACCCACTCCCGCGAGAAGCGTTTCAAATTTATGTACGGGGCAAATGTAATTATTTTTGAGGGCATCCTTTGCTTTGCGCACAAAGAGTTACTGGAAATGATGGACATGAAAGTGTTCATCGACACGGACTCTGACATTCGGCTGGCCCGACGTCTGAAACGCGATATCTCGGAGCGCGGTCGAGACCTGATCGGCTGTCTGGAACAGTACGAAAGGTTTGTTAAGCCTTCCTACGATTTGCACATCGCGCCAACAGTTCGACATGCCGACCTCGTAGTACCGAGAGGCGGTGAAAATAAAATTGCCATCGACCTTATCGTACAGCACGTGCATGCCCAGCTGCTTGCTCGCGGCCTAAAACTGCGTTCAACCCTCGTCGAAGGATATAGCGATCAGCCGATGCCAACCAGCCTGCACATCCTATCCGAAACTCCGCAAGTGCGTGGTATTCATACGTTCATTCGGAATCGCGATACTGATCGAGACTCGTTTATCTTCTACTCGAAACGACTGATGCGTCTGCTTATCGAAGAGACGCTCTCGTTGCTACCGTTTAAAAAAATTGTCGTCGAAACGCAGCAAAACTTAGTGTATGAAGGTGAATAGATGGTGTCAAACGGAAAAATTACAGATAGAAACGTGACCGAATCACATTTGCTCTTTTCTATGGCGATCTTCTTAGGTTTATTCAACAATGTGAACACAGCTCCATCTTCGCTTTAGAAACAGGAAACAGTCTTATTTTGATTGCGCGTTCCCGTATGTTGCAGGAATGAAGAGCGGAGCGGGTAAGATCTGCGGTGTTAGCATCCTGCGCGCTGGGGAAACGATGGAGCAAGCACTATGCGATGTATTAAAAAATGTTCGCCTTGGTAAAATTCTTATTCAGACAAATGTCCTGACCGGCGAACCTGAACTTTACTACCTACGGCTGCCAAAAGATATCCAGGTAAGCATAAAATGACTTACTCATGGTGTGTACTCATTCGACGACTGTATTTGATACGACGAATTGTCCATTGATGATCAATCCCGAAAGGATTTTCCCCATATTCGTACAAATCTTCTACGCCTCTAGTCTCCTACGTGTAATAATTTAAATCTAGTAGCACCACAACCATCCAACCACTTAGCGGGCAAATACACCAAAGTCCTGCACATATCTATTGAACTTCATAATGTGCTAACAATGGCTGTTATTTGCGCGTTTCATCAGGACTACCGTATATTTTTGATGGACGCAACTGTAGCAACAGGTGCGGCATCGATGATGGCGATACGCGTCCTTCTCGACCACGACGTACCCGAAGAGAATATCACGCTATGCTCACTGCTTATGGCTTCCTCTGGCGTACACTCGATTGCATATGCCTTTCCCAAGGTGCGCATTGTTACAACTGCCGTTGATCCAGAGATCAACGACAAGTTCTACATCAAGCCAGGCATCGGTGAGTCTTAGCTTACTGCCTCGTTATTTGCTTGTTACGAAGTTCTTCGATAAGTTCCGAAGTATCGTTCGATGGACCCTAAAATTATTGTTGTAGTCCGCCTGATCAGTCTCATGGATCTTCAGATTAGGTATTGTGCGTACGATGCATTAATATTTGATTGCACCAGTTAGTCTAAGAATCGATAAGGGAGAGAGAAAGCGAGCTTCTAAAGCGTTCATACCTTTTTTTTTTTTTTTTTTCGGTATCTGTTATAGGAAATTTCGGGGATCGTTACTTCGGCACTGAGGCAATCTCATACAGCTAAAAACAACTATTAACGAGATCTCACAGTTGCTCATTTAATCAACAATCTTGCTTTACCTGACCCTGTCCGACCCGCGCGCCTATAATCGCTGCTTGCGACTCAGTTTCTTAATAAAGTATCGATTAAGCAAACGAGGAACTGAGCGTCAAAAGCACACAAAATACTGTCCCTAAGCGGAACATTGACGGAACGGCCGCCAGGATAATATCTAGGCGGAAAGTATTTGCTATATTGAATTGTTTTTGCAAAAGTAAATTGATTTGTAGACATCTGTGCGGAATAGCGCACAATGCTAGAAGTCCATTGGCTATATGTCATGGCGAAGAAGCAACTAGGCGTTGACACTGAGAAACGGACTATTTTCATCGGTGTATTATAACGCCGTGCTCTGGCAGCGTGTCTCAGCATCCTAAGTTTCAACAACGTAAACATAACAAATAATGGGTGTAGGTGTATTTGAATAGCTGGAAACATGAATAAAGTGGATGGAAGACGACCAGATGATATCAAGTTTTCTTGACTCTCGGCGTTTGAGCATTTGCCGAATTCAAGCAATACAAAAACCTATGTTTTTGTATATATATATATATGGCGTACTAAATATATATATATATATATATATATATATATGCGCTAACTTCATTCTATAGTTAAGGAGAAGAACAAAAAAAAAAAAAAAAAAGAACTTAACCTACCCGATCAATTTTATCTCATCTATTGTTACAACCGAATTCTTATAGAATTCCATACGGAACTATGGACTTATGTGAAACTTTTGTACGAGGAAGAGGAATATGGGTAATAGGTGTAAGGAATAGTTTGTTTTTGAAAGTTCGCAGAAAAAGGTGTAAACGATATTATACGGCAGACTGTTCAAATATATACAAGTACGTATGATAGATACTTAAACACGGCGTCTAATTACTAGTCGTTAACAAGCATGCGGGAAGCTCTGGGTCATCGTGGGAGGGACTCCCAGAGGACGCCGAGTCCATTAGGCTAATTGGAAGGCCCAGATATGGTGAATAGATGTTTATAGGTCATGTGCAAACAATTGTACTGCTTACGATGATGGCTGACAATAATAAATTCTGTATGATATATATATGTGCATCGTGTGTCGATTCTTCACTGATTTGGCCGTTGTCCTTTTCAATACGCCTGATCCAGTCAAGTACGTACGCAATGATCCGGGAAGACTGAATAGCAAAATGTAGTGAATGGCGCTTCTTCGAACATGGTATCGGTTTGGTAGTGAACTATGGAGATGGCACAAGCTCAACGGGTAGCAACGTGTAAATACGATAGCTTACGACTACTTGATAGCCCTATTGTAAGCCTTAAAATACGTCGGGAAAATGAGCACTGAGGAAGTATTAAAGCTGGCCGTATTTGTTTTCGACAGAAGTTGCTTTCGCTGCCGCTGGAATAGCGCCTGTTACTAGGCCCATTCCGTATGTGTGTACCCACGTTTCAGGTACAGCGAGTCAGCTAGATCTATCCGTAATGATATTTCGGAAGTATAGGCACAGAATAGGGAAAACGATCAGCAGATAACGCAGTTTTTATTAAAGGGTAATCTGTTCTCCTTATCAATTATGAGAATAGGGAGAACCGATGTTAATACCGTTAATGTTCGTGCGACAGTAGAATTTGCGTGCACATTTGTAGATAACAAAGTACTTTGTACACTGACTGTGCCATCTATGATTAGAGCCCTTGGCTGTATTTTCCAGTCGTTTGTCCGAGCTGCCAACAATAGATATTACTATGAACATAAGGTGTAACATAAGATGTACATTACCGGCATTTTCACAATTTACCCGAATCGTTAGAGATTTTAAGAAAGGAAAACCGATATAAAAATGTATTTGTGTAAGCGCTCAACTAGTCTTCGCTGTCACTACACAGATACGCACTCTAGCCCTAGAAGACTGTATACGTATTACTTTATACAGAAATGTAACGCAGAAGGGATGTTTTCGACAGTCCATTTTACCAAGGCCTGATAGGCGTCCAGTGTCGTATTTTTCTTTGCACTGTTTTGTAAATTGGAGATAGATAGTGATATAATTAAGCATTAAGCAAGTGACTTGGATGGCCAAGTTTCTGGATGAAAGAGACCGGGGCGGGAGGGGAGGGGTGGGTGGGTGGGTGGGTCGCTGCATTGGGTTTCGCTAACGATACACAAAACACGACCTGTGTAAATAAACCCAGTTAACTGATACAAGACAAAACATCGAGCATGCGGACGTTCGTGAATAATAACCTTCTCGCCTAGCCTGAAGGGAAAGAGGGCTTGATTTATGGTGATGATTAGTTCTATGGGTTCCGTGTTTAGCGGTCTCAGCGGCCTCGTGAGCGGCGAGAGTCTAAGATGAGGTAGCATTGCAAAAATCGTGTATACTTCGTGTATGTAACTGCAACGAGAGCAGTAGTAAAGTTACAATTGTAAATGACGAAGATAATCATTATAGTGATGGCTGTCGGAGCATACAACACGTTCGGACGGCGGGGCAAAGAGACAATAATAACGGATGATAAGTGATATCCATTTGAAAAAGTGTAATTGAGTAATGTGATAGATATCAATAATGTGACCCACTTATAATTTCGGTGTACGATGAGGCTCTATTAAACGAATTCTAATAAAAATTCATAATTATATTATTAAACTTCTGTTCGTGATTACGAGGAGATAGACGTTGCTCCAATTATCTTGCTGCTAAAAAAAAAAAATTAATTGTCATTATATTTAAGTATGCGACATGGTGGCGTCTATGGACACGCGTTTTGTCCAGATAATAGCTGACAATATATTTAGTAATATTATAATTTCAAGGTCGAAAACCAAAGACATGCACAGATCATTGTAACTGATAGGTAAAACATGTCTTTCTTACGTTAGGGAAGCAAACATTTATGATAGATAGTCGTGTAGCTATTTTATATTGGCGGCGGCTAATTTCTTTCACATTTAGCTCGCACTTTATAGGAGACCTATTATCTGGTAGGCTGCTTCGTACTGGGTCCTAGGATCACAGGAAGAGCAATGCGTGTGAAGACCTGGAGCAGATTCTTGAACACCATAGAGGTTTCTCTTCGTCGACGTTTTGTTGTTGCTGTTGTTGTTGTTGTTCTGTCAATTACTACATCTTCTTTACTTGGAAGAACTGACACGCACAAATTTTTTGACAGGGGTAAAATATATTCAGCCGCATCCATTGATCGGGGAAGCGCACTGGTTTCATCGCTAACTTAAGTTGTTCGCTAGATAGCAAAGGAAGTGCACGGCTAAAATTTCGACTGCAGTAAACTTAATTGAATAAACTATACGATATAGCATATCAATACGCAGGCGGCCTCGTGAGAATCATACGCACCAAGAGTAAAAACGAGTTTCGATGAAATGCATCAAGGGAGCACTCGAGACCGTATATCTTCAGTGACGATCTTCCGTTCCTCTTTTTACTGTGATGGCTGTGTCGGACGCCGCAACGAGTTTTTACGTGCTGATGCCTGTGTGACTGGTCAAAAACCAAAATGCTTTCGATGACAGCGGCTCGCCTGTGTCCAGATTCGGCATTTGTTACTTACTAATCGTTCGCTTTGTGATTCTCTTTTTCAGAGCGGCCTTGCGGATGGTCAGTAATTCAGTCATGATCAGCCTGCCAATAACTCGCATCGGTGGATGAAACATTGTATTGTTTCAACTATACTATGTCCAATCTGTCCCTGTGCCACATAGAGTAGAATAGATTTGTTCCTTAGTCAGGGCTAATGTATGATGAAATTTGACAGCATGATAAAAATCACAGCAGCAGCAGCAACAACAGTTGTGAAGATAAAACGTTGACCCTTGGAAAGCTTTCGACAGAATCGTCGACACCGTCATTCTAAATAGCCGTCCGCCAACAATTATGAAGCACTGTGGCAAACTTACGCCTATGCCGTGGCCTAACGGTCAGTGCCTGCCCATGGTGGCAGCACTATCTAACACTTTTGGCGGTTATGCTTTATCTCGCGGCCTTCCTTGTCGGGCAAGAAAAAAGTGACTTTAGCTTTAAGGAAACGATACAGCGGAACGCACTACGTTTCGGTGGCAGCGTGGGCCGTTGCTGCCACTGCCGTTTGACAGAGCTTTCCCATTCATTATTAGATTAGCAATCATACTTAAATCGAGCATTCCGCACGAGCGTCGAAGATATCTACCATTAACTAAAGTAAAATTGTGTAAGGGCTTGTTTGTGTAAACGGGCCAATACCGTCATACGTGTCTTATGGGTGAGGACTGGAACAAATATGGCAAATGTAATAGTGTGCATTGTTTGTGAATGACTTCAGGCACCGATCAAGCGACGGCCAGGGTGAGTCGTTGAAGTCAATCGCATAGCAATACCTAACGTAACGGATCATTCATTTCGTTCATGTGCTGAATCTGACAGAAAAACTTCAGCTGTTTCATGTGCGTTAGTGAGCGTGCTTTATATTCGGCAAACCTGCTCCGTGCGTAGAATTTGTCTTCGACTTCATGTCTTTACTTAAACTTTCATCATTGTCACACTCTATATAGCTCTTCGATTAATCTGAGTTCGTAATCCATACGTGTTCATTTTGCATTGTGGGCTGCCTATGTATCTAACGGAAGCCCCACAAACAACGAGCAAAAGTAAAGCGTGTTTTTTCCGTCGCGAATGAAAAGGCACATCGAGAAGCCTTAAGAAGAAAGAACAAAGACCTATATAAAGGAGCATGTACAAACTCGTTTCTCAAGGGCAATAGAATTTTAGCATAGTTTTATATGAGAAGGAGTAATTTCCGACCATACGTGTAATATACTTGACATATATATATATATATATAGAGTATCTTGGCAAGGGATGTCCTGACGCTGACAAAATCAGATGAGATGTAAGTGGATGTGTAGGATTATGTAAAGTCGACCAAGAATCTACTTCGGTCAAGAATGTATTTCTTCGACTGATAACAACAAGTACCAAGAAGGGGTCAGATACTTCGAAATTTTAGAAGAACGTAATATTGTATGCCTACCGAAAACATTGATAAGTTAGACTTCGTTATACATTACTTACTGACGTTAGACATTACTATTACAAACGACATTCAACCATAAAGTAAAAAATGCGCCATAGACGGAACTTGCCATAACTTTGTCTTACTTATACGTCTTCATACGTTTGTTTTAGCGAGACCAGAATCGGGCTCAGCCGGAACAGAAGCGCACAGAACCCCTGACCTAGTGCCCATTTAAACGAATAATGATGAACGACCTAGCCAGTTTCGGCGCAGCTATACTGATCATACTTTTGTATGCCGCTGACTACGGAGGAGCCGTTGTATGTGATTTCCAGGAGTACGAAACGTGCACAAATCGATTCCTCGAACGCGACTTCACGTACTTCGAGGAGGTAAGATTTAATCTAATTATTAATTAATAAAATATTTCTTTCGTTAGTGGGATTATCATTTTTATGCATTATACATGAGGAAGGTAAGCTTTTAACGGTACCTTTTGATTCGATGCGTCGAACGCAGGGGCAGTTGGTCACGAAAGAAAATCGATGATTTACTCACCAACGGCGTATATAATATGTGTAGGTGTGACGATGGCTTAGTAGACGAAAAGATAATACCTGAATGCCAGGTTTCGGAAGTCAGTGGTTTGCACACGTACGTACGGTGATTACGTAAGTTTTAATGTGTCTATGCCTAATTCCTATACTCAATGCATAGTGGTCAACGAAAAAAAGTTGTGGATATGGATTCAGAAGTGTGCGTCATGAAAAGGATAAACATTTATTTAGAAAAATATGCGTTATAGCACGTATCGTCTTCACTCAGAGTCCAAAGGTATATATACACCGCCTGTATAGCCTGGACAATATCTAACACGCTGAAGGGCAAGGCAAGACAGAGGGGCAAGTTAATAAACGGCAGTATGCGACTGCGTTTCGATAGACAAAAAGACTTGGTCGGAACCGTTTTATTTACATATCTCACTGCTACTTATATAAAAGTCATGTCTCTATTCAAGAGAATCAAAATCATATATATAACCTGAATATTATTTCAATGTTCTTCGTGCGCTTATGTTCTTCTGTAAAAACAGGTACAACGAGCTCGATGAAGCATACTTTTTAAATCACACATTTCCTTTTACTGACAGATAGATCTTCTTTGCTTCATAATTTTAAATCATTTGAGTGGTGCAGGTGATCAAATTGTACCCGCGTCGCCGACTACGAATCGATGCCACTGAGATTGCCCAGTTTTGCTCAGGCTTCCAAGAACTAGTTCAATGCATCGTGATACAATATGTTAACTGCAATGCTCCGGACGCAGAAAAGGAAAAGGTGGGCAGTGAGTTCTGGAACAACCAACATATTTACTTTAGCCTGATTACGGTCAAGTAACGTAGCTATATATATATATATATATATATATATATACATACATATATATATATATATATATATATATACATACATATATATATATACATATATATGTATCAGATGCGATGCCATTTAGAAGAGAGCAAGCTTCTATTGCTAATCTTTTCATCTTTCTCCTTGCGTTTTTCCTATGGTAATTAATAGTTTGTGTGAATGGATGATACTCAGAAAACGAGTGTGGTAGTCGTTCTAGTTTCACTGATAACTGTTGTGCTAAATTCTCGAAGGTGATCCGCGCCATGGTAAATGTGCTAAAACTGTGGTGCAACGAGGAAGATCGAAGTATTATCCAGACGGCGCTTCAACATGCCCACTGCTATCTCGGAGCGGAGGAAAGGTGCCGATCTTCTAATGTGACAATGTTCACCTGGAAGGTACGAAAGATCGACGGGACCTCATTTCACGATATTGCTCGTACAGACGAAAAGCCCATAACTTGAAATGTCTGCATTGACTTATTGACTCTCGAAATGGCTAATGCCTGAACCCGCGGTTAGCCAGAGGGCGCTGAGGAAGCACGTGATATTTCTTGTGTTATCTTCCGCATCGGTGCTTCAGTCAGCACAAAAGCAACTGAATCAGATTTGTCCTACTATACCAATGTAAACAAATGGAACGTGACGTAAGCTGTCTCAGTTGGGACTCGTGTTTGGCCATTTGTCAGCATATCCTAGCTTGAACGTTAATTCTTGAAGCGCCTTTCTAAATGCCCTTGGCCTATTATATCAGTCCGTATCACTTGCTAATCGGAAAAGGCAAGATGCAATGGAAATAAGGCCCTAAGAATAGTTTCAGCAAAAAAGCATTTTTGACACCCGCTTCACTTCACGCTTCGCCAAAACATTTAAAGAGATCTGTGACATGCACGGATAAAAAAACTCTATGGCAAAAAAGATTGCTGAACGTCGACATGCAAAGTTTAAAGATGGCTGTTAACACCCAAAGGATCTATTTTGGTGTCCGACGAAAACCGCCTCAGATATTGCCTAAAAAAAGCAGTTACCAAGCGATTCGTAAATTGGCGACAATCGTGAGCCACTTGCATATAAAGGCATATACGAAACGCTGCAAGACCTATCCTTCAACGTGATGCATTTGAAATCACGGCGTGAAGGAAACTTTACGTATTTTTAGAAACCAATCAGCTGTCCCCGTAAAAGTTCAGTAAGTAACGTGTTTGTTTCCTAGCCATAGCGGCACACGATACGAATCTAGGTAGAGACATACGAGCTTAGAGCCAGCCGTCTGAAGCGATAACGGGGAGCACAAGGATCCGACTGACTGAAACTGCGTACATTCAGAATGAAATTTGCGATGTGTACGAAAAGTCCGTCCATCTGACTTGAAGTGGATAACTGTAGTTCACGATACATCCATATTCTTTATAATGTATGGGCTTCATTTTTAATTTCTAGTATTTTGAGCATAATTTTATTATACTCGACTTACTTCATTGCAGTTGGTCCCGTGCTCCACTGAATATGTTATTGTATTAAAAAGCAACCACAGGGCAGGTTTGGGTCGTCATAATGCACGCTTGTATTCTGTGATTTTTGCGAAATTTTCCTCTGTCGTAGGAGATCCTGCGTTTTGAGCGTCTCTTAGATCGTCGACATACGTGTAACGCTCTGATCGAGCATGGCAGTTGCATACTGAGGGAGTACAATGGACAACGCTGCTCCAGCTGGTTAGGACGAACTGCGCTAGACAAAACGATTCGGAGTTGGGGTGGGACATACTGTTCTTCGGCTCCTGGGCCAAAACGCGGATGCAGGACGTGGACGACCTTCATCTACGTGTTGCTAACTTTATGTATAACAATGGTGAGGGCTTAGATATCAATTATGCAGATTGTGAAAATACGTTTCAATAGAAGACCTCATTGACGATTGCTCTTCCTCTAATAAAATGCGAATTGGCCCCCAGGTACTACTACGTAAAGAGGAAAACGACCGTCTCTAAGGGAGATACTCTTTAATACAAGTTCTATTTAAACAATCCGCGAATTTTTCTCATATTAGCGAAAAACAGTAATTGTAAATGTAATAGACGACAAATACGACGCAAAAATTCAAATAATAAGTTGTATTTATAAACTGAGAGTAAATTACATATGATGCAGGTGAATCTGAGGTATTAATTGAAACAGTATTACTTCCTTTGCTGCTGCCTAGCTAATCAGGAAGAGATAGTCTTTGGTATAATGACGATTAGATGTACAATGTAAACCAGATGATCTAGTTTTTTCCATTGTTCAATTTTTTGAGGGTTATTCAATATTGAATCTGGGAATATTTAGTAATGTTCCAACCAACCAATTTATCGTACTGTTAATAGGTATCCTGATTTTTCGGTCAAAGGCATCGTTTGTCTGGTGATATTGCTTTGTTCTCCTATACAAACCCGTTTAGGATTTTGAATTTCCCGTACGTCTTTTCCTGCTTTGACTGTCTTGTTGGGCAGGAACCCTTCAAACACCAATAGAATACGTAATTAAAAAATATTTACAACTTACGCCTGTTGAACATTGCTTCAGACAACTGACCTCAAGTTCGAAGTGAGGTGCGCTCCGCCATCATTCATCGGTCGCACCGTTTTTTTTGACAGGTAGTATTAGTAGATTGAAGAGTTCGATATGTAACTAGAGATGGCAGAAAGTTTCAATTTTTAGCAAGTTGGAGTTAAAGAAGTTTTTGTGTTAAAAATGTTCACGGGTGAAACGATCCGAATTTTTAATATATTGTGGCATATCATGTCCTCTCGTAGCTGTATGATGGTGTGCCTCTTAACAATCACATTGGTTAGAATGATTGGTAAACGGTAAGTCAAACAGGTGTTATCATTGTTGAAAGTTAGTCTGTCTGTACGTGCTATGTGACCGAAAGACGACTCACGCCCGCGGAACGTATTGCAGCAAAATGTAAATTTGTTTGATCTTTAGTTATATCGAACACTTATCTATATGAACTGAAGTAGTGGACGCTAAATAGAATATTTGTTTACTTCAATGTAAGTTCTGATTATGTTGATTAATGAATCTCCTAAATCCGCCTCGTGAAGTATCTCCGTGTTGCAAAAATAAATATATCTTAGCTTGGGTTCGTATTCCGTGAAGACTTTTTCTTCCCGCATAGAACCGACAGTGTAAACGAAGTAGGTTTTTAACGTATTGACGATGTATGTTAAACGCTGAGACAACGACGGTTTGACGTCAGCTAGACAGAATTTTTAACGCCATGTCAGTACACTATACAGCTGTCTACTTACAGATGAATATAAAAGTTCTTCGTAAATCTTTCTGGGTACACACTCATAGTTCCTGCTGTTTACTAAATTTTGTGTAAAGCGTTGTTTAGCTTGTTATCACAATGACGACTATGCTAGATACAAAATCCTATACTGAAAAGCATTTTAATCAGGCTGACTGGGGCGCCTTATTAAACTACTATTGAATTGGTACTTTTGAAAATAGAGAGAACAGATAGGTTCTTTTGGTCGACCAGATCTCGCTGTAAATGATTGAATTTGGTTAAATAAATTGCGTGAGGTGATCTATATATATATATATATATAGTGTACGGTGAGCATACTAAGGGAGCCGGGACTTGCAATCTAAAAGCCCACCTTTAGTTTATGATGGACTGCCTTATGATTGGGCAATTGTGGCCAATATGGGGCAATGGGGATCCTTCACCCCTAATGCATTTTGTTTATGTTTATCATACTGCAGCATGTTTAAGCTAGGCTCTTCTAGTATATTTCTGCCAGTCTTTCTCAGTATATAATACGAAAAGTTACAGTATTCATTTTCTCAAATCATAACCTGAATTATGATCCTCTTTATGTTTGACAAATTTACTTAGCTTGAGATTAAGCGCAGCTATTTACCTTGAATGTATGATTTTTTGTAAATTTATATACATATACACTACAATAATATATAAAGTACGTTAAACGACCACAAAAGGTGCCATTAAAGCTAGCGCTTGAATTCACGCTAATATAATCAAAATACTCTCGATAAAAAGTAATCAAGACTGCCACTATTCAAAGTTGATGGAGTCTGCAGTCAAAACCGGTTTATAGGTTTATAGTTACTTAGTTAGGGACTGTCCTTGGAAAAAGATTTAACGTGGGCGAAAATCTCAAACGCAAACATACGAAAAAAAAAAAAAAACAAAGTGCTTAACAACTGCCGGAAAACAAAAAGCGATTATATTAATAATGCACTCATTTAGGACCACGCACTATGTGGTGCCATTTTTTTATTATTACTATTATGGTTACCCTCGGGAAACGTTGTTACTGACGGACCTGAACAGGACCGAACAGCGAAGCCGTAAACCTATTGTACTGCAGGTGTCCGCAGTTAAGAAAGTGTAGCATTTCCCTGCAAAGCTGTCGAGCTATTTTGTATCCCATTGTCGATGGTCAGTAGGAAAAAACGCAAAGGCTGTGTACTATCAAATCGACGAAAAAAATTAGGCAGCTTCAAAGAGGGAGAGAAAAGGTCTGGTTGGCCAGGACAAAAAACATACAAACTTTTCAAGGCTTTGCCTCCTGGGCAAAAAGGTCACGAGGAAAGGAAAGGGCAGTTGTTTACTGCACTCATGGAATACTTCTATAAAAATGTTTTAACCTTCATTTACGAAAACGAGTTAGACATTTGTTTTTTTCCTGCATACGGCACACTCGTCCGACAGAAAATTCTGGCCTCTTTCGTGTTTTCTAATCTCAACGTAGATTATTTTATATATTATATTTCGTATATTATCCATTAGGATGCTTCTATAATCACAGCATAGCTAATAATATATTATCATCCTAGTTTTCATTTCTACTAGATCGTGAACGTGCATGCATAATTAAAGCGAATAAGGCACGCTAGGGTTAGGTATAGACATCTGAGTGGAGGAAATAAAATACCCTAGCTTGCCTCATTTATTAATTAGGGTACGTCGTTACGGGACGCGACAATAACGGTAATTTTTCGATAATTAGTGCACCTTATGGCCGTTTTTATACGGTCTGTTCCGTTCGTTGCTGACGATGCTCACGAAGTACCGTTTTCTCAGCCTTAAACGGTTCTACTATACTATCCTACCGTAAATGTAGCCCTGTTCCTTGTCATAGCTACTATAAATGCCATTTGTTAACTTCTAAGAGTATGCTCTAGGACAGGTCAAGGTTTAGAAATATTTTTTCTTTACTTGTAGCCTAGAATGGTCCTGTGAGGGTATTTATGTGATGAATTTCAATGTTTGGGCCTAAAAGTGACAAAAAAAAATTTAATGAACAGTGGTTTACACAAAATGTCAATACAGCTCTCCATGGGTATACGGCAAGAATCGGTGCAACCGCCGAAAATAATCATTTGTTTAGTATTTACTAACTTTTGTTTTTCTGAAGTTATTCTGAAACCCGAAAATTACAATTTAAAATTTCGTATTGGAACACAATTTGAATTGCACTTTTGAACTAAACTCGTATATTTTTGCTCGAACATATTTCGAGCAGATAGCCAGTAAGTTTGTGTTGGACAGTTATCAACAGTAACTTATTTACGGTTTAAGTTCTAATTGTCTCGCTTTCTTAGTCGTCCGTATTACACCTACAGATAACAATGTGTACTCTGGTCCCTATTGAAGGATTACGCAGAAGCGCCAGGTGATCCGAGCTAAGGGTGAGACGGCCACGACCGATTGAATTCTCAGTAAATATCCCATACTTAAAAGAACATTATTCATATAACAACGATAGAGGTGCAACCCACGGCTCGCAATAGTTAGCAATCATCAACAACTGCCCATCTATTCTTATTCGACCACTCCTTTTTCTCACTGTATTTGTAATCCCACCCTTGATAGCCAGTAGATGCTGAACTTTGTATAAGCCACCAAGTGTCTTTTAGGCCATTTGGAACTTAAAATAAAAAAGAAATATCGTTATAGAGTAGATAAATGATACTGCCTTTTCCTGCGAAGTATAGGGCATATGAGAGTTAATGAGGGAGTTTTTTTTTACAGTTACCCCGAGACGCTGCTTGCTATCGAATATTCGCGTCGGACGATTGAGTAAAATACATAAGCCAAAACCTGATTCTGCAAGCAATACGCATTGCTTAGGCCTTGATACGTTGCTCTCTTTCACACTATATCGTTCTGTCTATATTTGAGCAGCAATAGTTTTATGTGTAAATACAAGTCTGACTATCTTTCCTTGAGCTGCATGCCTGTTCAAATACTTTAAGTAATAATATTTAATTTTGTCAATCCTCGAGCTTAAGTGCTTCGGAATTTTTAGATCTAAAGCCTTCTTAGATACTATTACGGAAGCCGTGATAGGCCGAAGGCCTTATAGCCTTGCCACCTCTATGTGTGCCCTCCCGCGTCGTTGTGGACCTTTGTCTTCTACGAGAAGCACCCCTTTTCGTGAAATCTTTATGCTAATAAGAAACGCCTAATTTCGCTTTTTCGTATGAGATTTTTTCCCCCTATGAGGGATATTTGCCCTTCATAGAAGGTTGGGTGTATCGTGCGAGTGGCTGTGCCAGCTAGGGCGTGTGCGCTGCTTGGCTTTGCACATACGTTTGACACTCCCCAATTTTACCTTTTTTGATAAGTGTTAAAATGTCAAATGAATTCAATTCCTGTGATGATCTACTATAATACAGTGTGGCTAATTTATGTATTTTGGTGGATGTTTTTTTACTTGGACTGTTTTTTGCAGGAAACGAAGGTATTCCTTTGCCACCTAGTCACCTATTGTACGGCTTGAACGCCACCGTCCGAGTGCATTACCATGAATGGGTCTTAGAATATAGCATCGGGATCAAGCGGCTACTGCTAATCTTGCTTATTCTTTATGAATTGTTATCCCTATAAAGGTTTGTTCATCGCGAAAACAGTATTTTCCTTTCACTTTTTTAAGCACCAAATGCTGGCTGTTATGATCGTTAAATCAAACAGTTTGGTAGACGAGCTTAATAGCGTGTTTGAGTAAGCGAAGTATCAGGCATACAAATGCATAGGTTTTTTATCTTATTTTCTGGCTATTCTACGCAACCGAATCCTCGGAATTACTTTTTTGGTACATTGTCAAAGATCTGATTCGTCATACGGGGTAACTGGGATGGTGCTTGTTAGACTTATTTGACGTTTCTTTGACAGACCTATGAAGTAGTATATTAAGCATACAGGCAAGCATTAGCTCAATGTTTATTTCTTTGTAGTTATAATCCCTAATATTTCTCAACTTTTTTTTCGCAGTAATGATTTTTCTAACAAACCCATGCGTTTGCTACTTAGTGCTATTGCGTATGCTCGACGCACCCTCTCGATAACGTATAAGCACCTTAGATAGTGGTAGAGCGTTCGCCTCGTATAAAAATGCGGTCGGCAAACGGATAAAATTCTGCCAAACTAAAGATTTACAATTTAGCGTTATATTTACACTTGTAGACTATGACAATCTGTACACCTGTTATTACAATCTAAGTTGAGTGGGCTATAACAAGGGCGACCGTCGTTGGCAGTAAAGAAATGTATGTAGGTTCGTTTCTGCGGAGTCTTCAGGAGCTGAGCACTGAGTTCGAGTTAACACACAGTCGCCGAAATAAAAAATGAGCAAAATGAGTCTGATTTATTTGACCTTGGTGCCTATCAATTCAAAGGAAGCTGGTTGGATAACTTTGGCTTATGCTAACACATACAAGAGTAACGTATGGCTGACATCCAATAGTAGATTTTGCATAAATTCAAAAAATTTGATCAAGGAAAACCACTTTAAAAGTCGGAAACGGACATTTTTACCTAAAAAAAAAAAAATAAATAAACCGCTTCACACAAAAAACGAGTTTCCGACTAGCGTGGTGAAAAAAATGCCCAGGAACCTGTTTCGCTGGAAGCTGGAATTCTATGTTGCATGGCATTTGGCTCCGTTTCTTCTACTTAACATCTGGCTGAGTTGGGTAAGCATAGCCAACTCCCGCTCTTTTTGCTAACCCTTCCGTGTAACCTTACGTACGATATGAAAAGCTACGTTGATGGGTGGAAATAGAAACTCAAAGATCCTCAGCTAATCTGTAGGTGTCGCTTCTTATTATTGTATATTTCACTAATATAATTAAGCCGGGACGTCTG